GAAGAGAAGAGAAGAGAAGAGAAGAGAAGAAGAGAGGGGGGAGGAAGAGAAGCTGGGAATCGAGAGTGGTGGAAGAGCGTATTCGGCGTTGCGTCGTGACTCTCGTCAAGTCATAAAGTCGTAACTGCTGCAAAACGAAGGGACCGGGCAGTCTGCAGCCCTGGAGATGCGCTGTCACGGCAGGTAGCCAGGATGCAGCAGGTTGATGCCGTGTAAAGCCGTGACGAAGTCGTATGAGTATGAGAAGTCGGTGGATGGAGCCCTTCAGACGTTATCCCAGTTTCCACTCTCTCTACCCTGGTGCTGATTCGCAAATAGAAAGACAGTTGCGTGCTCGAGGGAGATGCTGGGACTTCTATCTACCAGGTATGTATAGATAGGAGCAAAAGAGGCAAACAGGAGGCAAACAGTCCCGCCGGTCAGAAATCCGGGGAAGGCGTAGCGAATGCCTGGGATGCGGGCCGCCGTTTGTCTCTGTGATTTGGAGATGATGCCCCCCCCCCCCTTGCATACGCGGAGGTTGTCCAGTATTAGTCAATCCGCAGCAGAAGAGGACGTGAACCAAGGCAAAAAGCAAGATGGAGCTGAGACATGAGTCTTGTCAACGGCAGCGAATCAGAGTTGCCACAGCTGCAGAAAAGAAAAAAAGTCTGACGGAGCTGAAAAGCCAGCAGACGGGATGGGAAAAAGAAACGAGGGAAACTTGAGAGAGAAATGGGCTGCTCTTTGTACTGGTAAGGCAGCGCCTGTCTGTCTGTCTGTCTGTCTGTGTGCGATGGAAGCATCAAGCTGTGGTGATGGTCTCATGCAGGGCAGCAGCGCGATGGACGGGGATGGACGGGTGCGACTGTGGGTGGTGGTGCTTGTGTACCTCCATGGAGCCGGGCTGTTGTGCATGATACGATGTACTACTGGGCAGTTACTTATTAATTGCTCTCTTTTCCCATCCCAAGATACATGTATTCTCTCTCTCCAATAGACAGTCGAGAAGCCACCACAAACTCCATCTGCCGTACGGAGTACATACTGCTTCCATCACATACTACAAGTCCAGGTGCAGAAACTGCCGAGCCCAGATTCGCGGGTTCAACAGCCCGAGCTTGACGGGCATGACCCAATCGGGGATCCACGATAGAGGCACCAACGCTAACAGCTCAATGGACTCCAATTAGGTTCATCAAGATGCTGGCTAGTGCCGGGACAGGGATCAGCGATCATGGAGGGACCTGAAGCTAAACCTGAAGGTAGACACATTTGATCCAACGGATGGACCAGACCTTTACTACAGGGCTTGCAGCGAGCGCCGTTTCCCCAGCGGCCATCCAGGCGGTCGGTCACCACTGCGTTAGCGTCCAGCGCCTCGGTCAAGAGCTGGAGCCCAACTGCATGGACTGTCTTGACTCTTGGGCGTTTGGGTGTCAAACCTGGAATGGGATCCATGGATGCTTTCATCGATGCCTCCTTTTTCCATCTGCCAACAGAATGAGTGTATGTATGTACGTGCAGTTCAATCAAATCATTCTAACCCAGAACTCCCACCGCTTTTCCTCGGCTACCTGCTGTTTCAAGTCGTTTTTGGCGAGAGTGAGTGCTGTCCACGAGCAAATGAGTTGCCCGGCGCCTTGACGGGGGGGGAGGGAGGACAGACAGGGCCGGCAATGTCAACTGGCAGGATGCACAAAGCTGACAATAATCCGCCAGTAAGGCAGTCACCCGGAATTGTCAATGGTTGAGTTGTCGAGTACATACTGGTAGCATTGACAGTTTGCCCGCCTTGGACAAGGCCCAAGTATCACAGGCTGACTACATGTACTACCGATACTACATCGCGGCAACGAACAGCTTCGGACATGGGGAGTGAAAGGAAGAAAAATAATCAGACAATGGAGAAATGAACCACCCGAATGGTCATCTCGTATATGCACCCTTGCGTCCGCGGCAAACGAATGAATGCATATGCAAACTAACACCACAAAGTCCCAGAAGGAAAAAGAAAGACGCCACGCAGAAAAACTCTAGGAAAACAAAGAGAGAGAGAGAGAAGCGACAACAAGCCGAAATCCTTGTTTGGTGGTGTGCCTGGCCCGCGGATGCAGGAACGGAAATGCTAGTTGCATGTGAGTAGGTACATACAATATCACACGGCCTTGCATTTTGCATCTGCATTGCATCGGCGTGGACGAAAGCAAGAGGGAAAAAAGGGCTCGGAGAACAGGCCGCCCTCTTCATGCAATGCAAGGGGCGTCACTTCTCACAGCGGCCCCTCCTATCCATCCATCCATCCGTCCATCCTCCATCTCAAGCATCGTTCATTACCGTCCCTTAACCATCTGCAAGGTACCCGGATTGCCAGCGAACGGGGCCCAATCAACCACACCTGTAACAACACACAAACAGCACAAACACACATTCTTCGCCAATACATGGTGGTTGGGCACAAATAGACGCATACAACTACATACATTGTATGTACATGCCCAGCCCCCTCTCAGAGCAAGTCTCCCCTCATCCCCATCCCGGCCGAAAACAGCTCGCCTTTCCCTCTCACCACATCACCATTCACCACCCAACTTCACCAACACCATTTGTCATCGCCCTTCGTCCGCCTTTCTTCGGGACCTTTTGCAATCTTGACGCCTCCTCGCCTCAGCGCCCGGCATCGTGCAGCCCCCCAAAGAAAACGCCAACGCAGGAACAAGGGTAGTGAAAACAACAGAGAGGGGAACAAACTCTCTACCAATAGCACTACTACCTGGATATGCAAGGGCGAAGAGTGACGAGGAGGAGGAGGGGGTAGACAAGATGGCTCAGCTCGGCAATCTCTTTGCCGCCGTCTCGTCAGACCTTCTTCCCTCCCCTCACTTTTTTGTTGAATTGAGTTTTGTTCTGCATTCTCCAACTTTCTGTTCCTGGTGTGCAAACTATTGGACAAAAAGGCTAATGTCACTTGTAAGTCGAGCTTCTTTTCGTTGCTCCCGTAGCATCCGTCTTTTTTCTCTGCTCCAAGTTCGGCGGTACTCCGTATCACCCGTTCAACTCTTGACGGCTTTTGTGGCCCCCCTTCTAAACTTCCTTCTTGTCTTCCCATTCTTTCCTCTTCCCAAGGACATCCATTGTTGTGTTTCCTGCCCGCCCGGCTTTGCTGCCTGTATTGCCTGTCATCCGGTAAAACTCCATGGCTGTGCTACCTTTGGCGCAACCCGCCTTTGGCTTTCCGACGGTGTACCATGTAGTCTACTATATTCCTTTCATTCTCGTAGCATGGTTCCAAGCAAATCACGCCCCCCTTTGTCCATTCGCCGAAAACCACCCAGTAACTTCGCAATAGTAATACCAATTCAGCATCCAACCTTGTCTCCCGTACACCCCCCTCTCCTCATCAACGTACGTCCCTAAGGTACATACATCAGTCAAGGGGAAAATGCAACCCGCCTTCTCACCAATCACCGTCATCCATCTCGCCGAACAACAACGAAGAAGCAAACACCCGCTGCCCTCCATCACTCATTTTGCTATCACTCTTCACTCACCGGTCCGCGCAACGCGGAATAAATCCTGCAGCCTGTTCCGAACTTGATACCCAGCCGTTGACCAAATCGGGAGCATGGTGCTGCCAACTCAGAAGCCTAAGAATTTCATTCAAGCATCATCCCGGCAACAAAAAAACGCACGGCACCTCGGAATCACGACCTGCTTGCCAGTCGATAAGTCTCTTCCCTCCACGCCCGACCAGTTGAACATGAAAAGAAAAGCAACATGGATTACCTGACCGCCCGACTCGACATGGCTACTTAGGTATTCGCTGGTATCTACCTACCTAGTGTTAGTAAAACAATCCTGCCAACGCATTGGCGTTGCATTCACCGTTATGAGGCCCAAAATGCCGACCTAGGTTCCTGGATTTTTCGCACTTGGATTCCGGGGAGAGGAATTCCATTGCTCCAATTGCTCCAACTGTTGAACAACTACCTTGGAAGCAGATCGGGGATTCCCTTCTCCCCGAACCGATTGAGCTTGTTCACTCTTGTGATTCCATCTTGCCGACGATTCCTGGTTGCTTCTGACATCGTCTTTTGTGTTCTCTTCACTTCGTTAGACCAACGAAAAATGAAGGATTTATTCGTTTAGTGCCGTGAATCCACTGCAGTTCAGGTTTTCACATGATGATCGAATACATGTACAAAGCAAAACCACATGGTACCTTCAAAACTCCCGAGAAGATGGGAACTGAAAAAGAACATGGAAATATGCCACTCCATAGAATTAAAGGGAGTAATAAGAAGTAATGAAAATTCCTGCCCACCGCTTCTTCCAAGTCATTGCCAACTGCGTCTTCATCACAAACCGAGTCACCGATAAACAACCGGCCCATCTGGCAATACCAATATCGTCATATACTTCGTTTCACCGTTGCAATAAGCCCCAGATAGTTACTCTCTATAGATTGTGTCTCCCCTCCCTTTCCCCCCCTTTCCCTACCCACAGTCCACCTCCTTTGGCTTTCCCAGGAAGAATAATAACGAAAACAACGCTCACCGTCGACATGCTTTTTTGTGTCATCATGATGCCAACCACAGTGCTTTCCACTCTCTCTCCCTCCAGTACGCCCATCTTTCCTCCTCCTCCTCCTCCTCGTCAGACACAGCATACCTTTTAGCCATTTCAAACCTCTTCATTTTCCCAGTCCTTCTCCTGAAACATGGGCGGGTTCCGCGTCCCATTCACTTCCAGCTTTTCCAAAAACTCTGGCGGCACAGTCGGGATGTATTTGCGTTCCCTTTCCCTGTTGACGCCTCCAAAGCCCGCTCCGTACGATACCAGCATGTCCGTGACGGATGGCAGCGCAAAGGGCAGCATGTAGGCTGGGTTCAGCAGCAGACCCTTTGGTGTGCTGTCTTCGTCATCCGAGTCTGCGCCCTTGATGCTGGGCGTTGCAATGTTGACGCTCCTGGGCGTCGACATCCCGTTTCCGTTGAAGTTACCCGTTACTGGCGTGCTCGGGGCGCTCTCTGCAGTGCTTTGACGCCGATCCTTCTTGAGTGCCGACTCTTTTTGGATCGCAAGCAGGTACTTCATAGCGCTGGCCGGCAGGCCCTTTTCGCCCACTTCGGGGCGGTAATGCGTGGCTGCATGGATCAGCTGCTGCGGCGTCATCCTCTTCAACTGCTGGAGAGTGTCGACCAGGGCCTCCAAGTCGTCGGCGTTGAGCGATGAGAAGCACTGCAGCCATTGCAGCAGCTGAATCACCGGGGCCAGATGCCTCTTGGCCGCGTCCATTGTTGTTTCGCCCGATGAGTCCATCTCGCCGCCTTCGTAGTGCTCCGCCTGTCTATTGTTTGTTCGTGCCCAGTCCTCCAGCATGGACACGTTCATGCGGATCTGCATTGCCTTTGTCCTGGCCAGGTACTTGCGGTTGGACATGACTCTGTTGAACAGCTCGCACCCGAGCCAGTAGAGAAGCTGGGAGATGATCTGTGCCGTGATGACCGAGTGGACGTCGTACAGGTCCAGCACGAAGAGCGTCGATGACAGCAGCGAGGTGACGTTCCGAGGAGCGGGCTTTGCTCTCTGCTTGGGAGATGGCGGGCGGTAGCGCTTCTCGAGAGGCTGCTCCTTGACCGTAGACTTTCTCTTGAATATCTTCCACTCGTTTTGGAATGCAATATCCTCGAACCCGGGGATGGTCTCGTGCTCTAGCATGGCAGAGTCCAGGACCTTGTCCAGTCGTCTTTCGGCGTCCCGGACAATGAGCACAAAGATCTCATTGATCAGCTCAGCAAGCTGTGCCTGGAATGTGGTTGTCGCCTCCACTAATCCGGCATCTTTCTTGAGGTAATGCAGGAGGAGCGTGGCATTCGACATCCAAAAAGCCAAGATGGTCATGTCCCACTGGGACTTTTCGACAACGGCGTTGATGCGCTGCATTGCGGACACGAGCAGTCTTCTCAACAGGTCGGGGCTGGCGTGGTAGTGTGCATATCTCGCACTGAGGAAGATCATGTTGGCTGGTACCGGCTTCTGCGACGGCGACCGCTGGGGCGTCATCTTGGTGACGACAATGTCCAGGATCCGGTCCAGCTCGTGCTCCTGGAAGACAAACATTTGGTCGTGGAGACAGCGACTCCAGTCGAACTCTTGCTGTTCTTCTTCGAAATCATCCATCGTCTAGTCATCGAGGACGGGTTAGCCAACTCTGAACGTCGATGAGGCAAAAGGAAGAGAGGGAAAGGACGAGCTTATTCCGCTGCCCCCTATTTGGACATACCTCTGGCTGATCATCCATTCCCACATTGCCCAAATCAACCTCCAGATCGCGGGCACTCTCCATCATCAGTCGTCTCCGCATCTCGTTCTCCGCCATCTCTTCCTCAAAACGGTCCTGAGAGAAGCCGGGATTGTAAAAGTCGCCGCCCATGCCCGCGTTCCCGATGGTGTAGCCATTGTCATGCAGGTAAAACGACATATCGCTGTCGGGGGGAACAAAGTCAAAGGCCGTCCGCCCAGACGACGTCTTTTGCTCCGAAGATGCGCCCTTGTCCAGCAGCAGCTTCGCTATGCCCTTGTGGCGGTTCGTCATTGCCCACATGAAAGGCGTCCATTGATTGCGGTCTTGTTGATTGACGTTGGCACCGGCGGCAATGAGAGCCTCCACGACCTTTTCGTGACCCTAGAGATGCGGTTAGTAATGAGTTGTCACGATCACATCCTCTGGGGCGAGACGAACAAAGCAGCTGGCGTAGATCAACGCCGGGGTCCCGTCGTCGTCGGCAAGATTGACGTCGACAAAGGGTTTCGCATCACCCTCGAGCAGCTTCTTGACCCTTTCGGTGTCGCCGTTGCTGGCAGCCATGGTCAGGGCCCTTTGTAGTATGTCCTTCTTCTCAGACTCGGTCATCTTGTCGTTGTTTATGATGGCGTCCTCGTCTTCCAGCGCCGCCTCGTTGCGGTGCGCAGCCTGGGCGGCCAGCATCTCCATCAGCCTGGCGTCGCTGTCTTTGGGGCCGCTGTCGATGAAGTCGCTTTCGTTCGAGTCGTTGAGGGAGAGGTCGCCGAAGTTGAGGGGCTTTGCGAGCACGGGCGAGGTGAGGAATTGGGACTGGCCTGTCTGGGGGTTAGCGAGCTTGGCTCTGCCAAAGAATGAAATCCGGTACATCTTGTCGACCGAGGCCATTGTTGTAGGACATTCAGCGGTTGTAAAAGGGGGCAAGGCGAGGAGGCTCTCGCCACTGGAACAAACCGCAACGCAGCACAACGCCAAAACGCACCTTGCCAGCCATCGTACATCTCCGTCTCCGGCACCGTAAACTCTCCCGCCGCATGTCTCCGATCGTCCAGAGATGTGGGCAAGTCAGCCGGAATGCTCCGTCGGTTCGCCTCGCCGCCAGAGTCCCCGAGATCCATGGTGGGATGAGGGGCAGAGCCAGAGTGCCTGGCTCATGAGATGCCGCAAGCCTGCAGTCGGTCGGTCGCGTGTCCGTCGTCGGGCTTTCCGGGTGTATCGTAGCCTGATCCAGATGCCGCTGCTATTTGATTGCTTCTGCTTCTGCTCGTGTGTGTAAAAGCGCGGTTCGGCTCGACGGTCTGCAGTCGCGTGGGAGGCTGTCCAGGCTGTCCAGGACAAGAGAGCGGTCTAAGGCCATCTGCTACCCTAACCCACTTTCAAGCTGTTTTAGCCCACTCGCAGGTTCGTCATCGGGTACGATATCGATTGTGGCCCGTGCGCAGCCTCCTGGAACTCACCTCCATGTTGACAAAGACGAGATGCTCGTGATTGCTCCAACATGCAATGTAGAACATGCAATTGTACCTTGATTGTTTGTTACAATTCTCTTTGTATTTTTCACAATCCTTCTATTTTCATGTGTGCTTTTCGAGTCTTTGAGTTAAGTACCTAGGTACGAAGCCAAAGAACAATCTAGGCCAATGCAACATGTACCTTGGACAAACAAGTTGCACCTCTAGGCTGCCCGCTTCCCAAATGCGCGGAATCGCTTCACTCCTCCATCGGGTATCATAATGAGCTTCACATGCGTCAAAGGCACATCCGCCACGGCAGACGCAAACTTGTGCTCCTGGTCGGGCCCCGTCTTGCTTGGCGGTACGGCCTCGAGCCATCCCTCCGAGTCCGCCTCGGGCTGGCCCTCTCCTTGCCACGACAGACCCTGGACGGCCACTTTTTGCGGGAAGTTGCCTCTGAAATGCGCCGTGTCCACGAGAAACTCTTGGATGTAGCCCGGAGCTCCCAGCTTGACAATCGTCCAGTCGACGTGGCCCTTGCCCCGCGAGCGCTTCGTCTCCCAGCCGTCGCCCATGTCCTTGCCCCGGCCCGGCAGCAGCAGGTTGTCCTTGGAGCCAAAGTGCTGATCGCTACACGAGATGGCAATGCCGCCGTTTTGCGCCGCCGCGAGGTCCAAGATTGCCTCCTTGTCCTCGGGAAACACGGGGACTGCGTGTCCGTACAGGCGGAATCTGGCAATGCCTCCATCCGGGTACATGTTGAGCCGCACGTGCGTGTATTGCTTCGTCGTGGGCACGTCGAGCTTCCAGCCGTGCCTCTGAGACGGCCCGCACTCTCGAATGTTGAGGACGGTCTCCCACTTGCCTCGTCCACCTTTCCACGAGACGACCTCGTCATCGTTGTCGCTGAAGCAGCCCTCGACGGAGATGGCGGGGGCGTTGTTACCGTTGAAGAAGGCCGTGTCGACTTCAACACCCGTGACGATGCCTGAGGCAACACCGAGGCGGACGACGACCCAATCGAACTCTTCGGGGTTGTGGCGTCGAGTCTCCCAGCCGTCGTACCAGGCTCCGGTGTAGACCATCTTGCCCGGCTGGCTGATGGGCGCCGTGGGGGTCAGGAGGTTGCTGGCCTCGGCGAACCATTCGTCTGAGAAGCCGAGGACCTTGCCGCCGAGTCCCGCCGAGACGAGATCTGATGCATTGCAGCTTGTCGTCAGTAACTACGAAAGGGAACGGCCTGAGGCCAGGAAAGGTCGATATGTGGGCGGTACGGACCAATGCATGCTGGGCGGAACGCCTTGTCGATATCGCCGGCAGCCAGCTGCGTTGCCTGGACGGCATCGAGCTTGTACTCGACCTCATCAGCAAACGAAGACATTGCGCGAGAGACTTGCGGACAGTCGAGACTCCAGTCAGATGCGAGAGGATGAATTCGCGCAGAAGGTGAGAATCAAAAGGCAGAGCTCGACGAATGTTGCTTCTGTCTGGTGTCTCGTGCGCCGACCGCCTGATAAGAGGCTGGAGATACGAGGGTTGATCGGCCACCTCCGAAGCCGGCCGGCGCTGAGACCCGGCGTCAACCGGCCAAATAAGCGGGGAAGCGCATCTCTAAGGGGTGCAGCGCTTAATGTGAAGTTTCGACCCAACGGAGGTCTACAGAGTGTTGATTCTAGGGTTGAGTTGTAGCTGCTGTCGTACTCTAGATGTCTAGAGAAGATAAGACTATGGAAACTGGCCTAGTCGTCGATTGGCTGGCTACCGATTCTCGCATTAGAGTATGTGTAGAGAGTCATAGCACCCTGGATTCGATCCAATTGCAGCGTTATCAAGTCAACAAATCGTATACTTTCGTTCGACTTTCTTCCTACACGTCAATGCTAGCGGTTGACATGCCCAATAGGGGCAACATGAAGTGAATATAAGGGTGGAAGCAAGAGTTGCCAAAACGAGGTGCCCACGAATCAATAGAGAGGAAGCGATCAAGCTGGGGCTCTCAGGTCTGCCAAGCGGTATCTGCTCAAGGCCAGCAACTTTGCTCATGCTGTCAGACTTGAATTGCTGCACATCAGCGACATGAATCAATACGAAAAGTTTGCTCAGACATCGAGCGGTGTCACGGCTGATGTGTCGTCTTCCCTCGCAATACATGTATGTATGTACTCCTCTCTCCCTGCCGTTGCTCCTCTCCTGTTGTCTTATCTCGCGCCCATTCAACCGCTGTAATTCTCGGCGATTTCAGCACAGGCTTCAGAAGCTTCCCCGCGCTACGGCCCCCATATTTGGCCGCCGGCACCCCGTCCTTGGTTGCTAAGCGGCGTCCCTGATTGGCCCAGATGCCCGATTGCTGCTGTCCATCGTGGTCCCCACAGCGGAATCCTCAGTCGGCGCGGCTATGACGTGCTTCGCGGGAAATCTATATCAACCACTCGTCACTTGGCCGGAAGCGTGCTTCACTTTCTGTCCTGCAGTTTTCTTTCCTTCTCCCACTCTGCTGCTTCACCGGTGCTCTTTGACAGGCGATCTGCGATCGTGGCTATCATAGTCGGGAGCTAAAGAAAGAACATCGAAGACACGAACCAGTCTCCATCTCCATCCAGCGCTAAACTAAACCACCACGCGACTTGAGCTTCCCGAAGCTCTGCAGTAGAGCCCGCATCAGATCATTGTGCACCAGATTGTCGAAGCTGCTCTCCTTCACCTCTCACCGTCCACTCTCCACTTCCCATATTCGCTTTGACACCATGGCAAGCTCTACTGGTGTGCCAGCAAGACTGCCCAACGGCTCCGAGACGGGCCTCACAAGCCGCGAGACGGAGCCTCTCCTTGGCCGCCCCGGCGATGTTGCGCAAGAAGAGGACAAGTCAGCCCTCAGCAACCTTGTTCTAGGTACGTCCTCTCTCTCCGGAGCTACATTCCAGCCCCAACACACAACCAACCGGACAAATCCATGTTCCCTCCCTAACACGACGTCAATAACAAACAGGCACCGGCACCATCGCACAGATAGGCATCTGGCTTCTCGCCGTCCTCATCTGGGCTAGCGTATTGACAAAGCCTCTCATCCTCTTCTCCGGACACCCTCTCGCCCAGTCGTTTGCCGTGCTGGTGCTGGTGCAGTCCGTGCTGTTCCTCCAGCCCACCCACACGAGCGAGCAGAAGCGCCTCGGGCAGCGCGTCCACGGCCTGCTCAACCTGGTGGCCTTGCTCGCCCTCGTCGCCGGCGTGACCATTATCGAGTACAACAAGGAGAAGAGCCACAATGCGCACTTCCACTCGGTGCACGGCTACCTCGGCGTCATCACTTCCATTGTGCTCCTGCTGCAGTACCTCGTCGGCTTCACCATGTGGGCCACGCCGAAGCTGTACGGAGGCGAGGACAATGCCAGGGCCATCTGGAAGTACCACCGGTACAGTGGCTACTTTGTCTTGCTCCTTTTGCTGGCCACGGTCAACAGCGCGACCCAGACGGACTATAACAACAATGTGTTGAAGATCAAGCTGTGGGCTACGCTTGTGTTGTCGGCTCTGGTTGTCATTGGAGTCTTTCCCCGGATTCAGAAGCAGAAGCTGGGTCTTGGCCGGCCGAGTGTTGCGCTTTGAGTGGGTTGATGGACTGAAGCTGATGGTCCAGTCGTCAGATTGAGCTCCGTTTTGATATTCGCTGGATTTTGCACCAAAGTAGTTGCGCTCTCTTGATATTGTTATACCTACAGATTGCACTTTGCAAGTTGCTTTACAGTTGTGTGATGAGTTCAAGTTACAATTGTGTGTCGAGGTCAAGTTACGATGGCGTGATGAGGTCAGGTCTACATCTAGCCATGCAGAGATATAACGTCAGTTTCGCACAAAAGTCATTGGGCTACATCATGCCCCTTTGCTGGTGCTTGCAATTGAGTTGAAATCTGCTCAACTTTGCGATGGCGACCTGCTCCTCGATAAGAGTTACAGCAACTTGCGTGTTATGTGTTGTCCATTCGCTCATCCATGATCTGTTGGACGTGGAGACTACTCGTACATACCTTGATGGAGCAGGAAGCAAGCCACGTCGTTTTGCCTTGTGCCCGAAATATGAAAAACTGGAAAACTGGACCTGTTCCTGTCAATCGTGGTTGATCCATCTAATAGTGCACAGGCGTCGTTGATCTCAGCTACCCGAAAAGAGACGGCGTAGAATAGAATGCATGTAAGCTTGTTTACACGTCAACGGCATGAGAACTGTGAAAACGAGGGACTTGCACGCTTTTTCATTTCTGATATCATTGAATTACTCGTACGTGCAGTATGGATATTCACTGGACGACTATCATTCGGCCCCATACTCGTATTGAGTCTTTCCTACTATGCTGTAACTTCTATTAATAGAAAGGAGGAGAGAGAAATCATTTTTTGACAGATTGAGATCGTCGTCTTAACGGCTTGATCTGCTAGTAGTCCCCGGTATAAGGCACGACTCGGAGGATTGGCGAGGAGGAGATAAGGGTTAGGTAAACCGGGATGTAAGAACTATCTACTATATTTGTTTTATCTTCGGAGGTCCAAGCTTGTTGCTATTCGCAGTACATACGTATGTTGCATTGAAGGAGCAGTTGATTACAATTACAGTACATGCTCGTTAATAACACGTTGTCTCGGTTATTGATGGGAAGAGTTGCCAATTGGGTAAACCCTCCGATTCTATTCTCCCTTTTCTGATTTTGAGGATATACTGGCAACGATGACACCGCGCTTTTGCAAAGATTGTGCTTGTAAGGCAGTAGAAACTGTCAATACCTACCTACTAGGTAGCATCTACCAGGACGACTTCTGTTAAATCTACCAAATCATCTCACACATCATACGATGCAGCAGCATCAGAACATCTCCATTCGCCTCATTTCAGCACATTCTCTCACTTCGTCCTCATACTGTACCTGTAGTATGTACATACGAGTACCTAACGCAACGAGGACTCTTCCACTTCCCCAATGCGGATTCGGCCAGGATCTCTAATGGTGCGCCACCGACGCAATTGCGGGCCCAGCAAATTCCCTCCAGCCGACGTCACCCAACCCTTTTGTTTTCTTTTCGACAAAGAGGCGCGCCTTTCGTCGCTACTACTAAGACACCTATTGGATACTATCGTCAGAAGTCAGTTCTGTTTTTGCTTCATTTCATCGTCCCTTTCACTGTTACACTTGCTTCTTGTTCTTTATCGAGGATTTTTGGTTAGTCCAATTTGTCTTTGTATGTTGTCTCCATCCGAGGGTCATCCTTGCAGAAGCAGTTCCGTGTCCTAGTACTACCTTGTGATGAAAGGGCCGTACGATCAAAGGAGACTGAAAGCATGAGACTCATTGCCGCGAGTAAGATGACCGCAAAACAGTTTCAGCACGATACTGTAGAGAAGAATAAGCATCCGGCTGTTTAGTAAACGGCTCGGCTGTGGCGTAAAGCCTCACAACCCTTTTCCTTGCCCAAGTGCCAACCGTTTTCCTGACACAACACAACACACACACCCAGCCCAACTTCCATCTTTGAATTCCCACCTCCTCCCCCCCCTCCCCCATCTAACAAGGTTCCCATTTCCCTACCTTACCCACCTACCTAGGTAGATATCTCTTTGAGAGGTCTTTTGGAGATCTCATGTAGTCTTGCGAGTAAGGCTCTACAGTGAAGGAAGGGGGGTGGGGGGGGATATTGGTATCAGAAAGACCCTACTTCTCTCGTCTACGTAGAAAACCAACTTCGCGCCGTAAGCCAAACAGTGCGGCTGAGCTCCCTTTCGTTCTTCTCCCCTCATTCCTTCGCTATCACGAACAAACGGTGTTCCAAGAGCGAAGCTAATTGACGTCATCTGCGCTCCCTCCCGGCCCCCCCTTACCGTTGCAACTTCTTGTTATACTACCCTAAAAGACAGCAGCATCGTGACATTTGGAAAAGCCA